CACCACAGACTTGTTTCCTGGTTCAGGTTTTGGTTACTAGAATCCGTAAGGGAAGTACAATGCCACCCAATTTTGCAAATCTCAGGATAAGCTTGTGTGGCACCCTTAATCATACCACAGCTACTTTCTGAACAGTATCTTTTTACAAAGAAAGTGACAATGTCATGTGCCAGAAAGGGGGCAGGCAGTAGAGGGCAGATCATGTTTTAATTTTACCTAAAGAAAAAGGAATCAGGTTTGGCCCTGTAATATGGGAATCTTCAGAACACAGGGAACACACAGAACTATTGACGTCTGGAAGACTTAAACTCTCCCAACAAGATCTTATGGGTTAAGTACATTCATTCTGTTAGGTCGGAGAGAGCCCAGGATCAGATACATGCAGACATGTGACGAGATAATGGACTCCCCCTGGCATTTCTAACAGATCAGTGTGCCAGACACAGATACTGACTCCTTCCTGAATACCTTGCTGACCCCCTGCAGCGGGAACTTCCTCAGCTGAATACCTCAGCTCATGTCCCCGCCCCTCACCCAACCGCAATATAAAAAAATCGCCCCCCTCCCTGTTGGCATGAATCCACGTGCCCTGTCTTTGGGGTACGTGGGTCTTCCGGGGACGAAATAAACCTTTTCCTTTTCTTTCTTTACTGATTCACTGGACTCTCTTTATTTCTTACGCCGCCTCCTGAGCCACCTAACCTAACACATTGTAACTATACCAGGGAGGGAACACACTCCATTGCACTGGTAAGGGGACACCAATCAGGCTATGGTACCTGAGACATTTACAGCTGTTTTCCCCTCCAGGATCGCAATTCTAAATGAAAACCAACGTTCTGCCCTCAAGTTAAAAGTATCTGGTTCCTTATCTGTGTATTTTGAGACGAAGACCAGGTAAGGGGTCAGTCAGAGGGGCTGGGAACCAGTTACAAGTAGGAGTTGGAGGTGTGTGTGGGCCTGAGACAGATGAAGACTCAGTCCACACCAAAGATAAACCCCACTCCTTCATTCACAACTATTCGGGATTCCCACTCATCATAGGAATTAGGGAAGCCCCCAAGATGAAACACTTAAATTTAAATGAATGTTTAGATCCCTCCTTCCTGCTTAGTTTCTAAGGAGCTGGGTTAGGAACCTGACAAAAGGACTTTGCCCCGAACATTAGATACAGCTGGGGCCCTCCAGCCCTGAGGCTGAGCCCACCATCCGGCACAGAGCTCCCCGTGTGCAGGGCCCCTGCCTGCCATGGTAGTTTCCAAGTACACTCAGCCATCAAATCAACTTGGCTCGCCTAGAGGCACTGAGCTCCTTACCACACCAAGTTCCTTCGAGTAGGAACGACGACTGTCCGTTTTCAGTGTGAAATCATTAGCACCCTGGACCTTCCAGCTCCATCTTTAGTGATAAAAATACCCCACTGGCCACATGCAGCTCTTGGGCACTTGAAATACGGTGAGTGCCCAACTGAATTTAAATTCTATTTGACTGAAATAGCTACATGCAGACAGCACAGCTCTAGACCGACCTTGCAAATCCCATGCCCACAGGCAGGTAGGTGTGGGGGGAGAGACTAGGCAGGGAGCACTGAGCCACAGGAAAGCAGCAGAGCTCCTTGGCTCCAGGTGGCTGGTGCTGAGTAGGAACCTCAGGCTGCTGCTGCCACATTATCTCATTTTTCAAATGAAGCGGAAAATCTGGATTTCAATGTCCAATTTTTATTTTAAAAAATTTTAATATTTGAACCAAACTGACAACATGCTGGGGAGCAAGACCTCAAATGCCCACTTTTTAAAAGTTAGTAAGTAAATTTAAAAATTAATTTAAGTCACGTTGTGGCTGAACAACGGCAGGCAACATCTGTCTCGCCAGTGAGCAGCCCTATGTGGCCAGCCTCTCCACAGCCACGGTGCGGCCACCGCAGCTCTTCCTCGGTGTCTCGGCAGATCCGAGACTGAAACCCAGGCCTTCCCAGTCTTCTTCTGGTTTTAGGAGACTGGCCACATCTAGATTTCGGCGGCGGCAGCAGGGACAAAAGCCCCTGCAGAAGCAGCTGGTCTGTGGCTGGCATCTTAGGAACACTGTTCTGACCTCGCTAGAGCCACATGGTGAGCCCTTTGCGTCAGGCTGTCTCTCCACTAGGAGCCAGCAGGACACAAAGACTAGTCCGAGGGGGAGACAGACATATAAACAAGCAAAGCCAGGTTTGCTATAATGGACACAAATCGCGTGGGCACAAGTCCCAAAGCACAGCGCCAGGGGAGGGAGGGGAAGCAGAAGCTGCAAGTGGTGGATGAGCACCACTGACTTGGAGGGTGGGCCCCATTTTCCCAGAATATTAAGGGGGCCTCCTTGTCTATGTCAGTTTCCTTCGCAGGCTTCTTCTCTGGGTAATCTCTAAATGCAAAGAGCCCCCAGGAGGCGTGTAGGAGCCCAGGGCCATCTAGAAATAAGTCCCTACCTGTATTGATTGTCTCTATGCC